TCAATGGAGCCGTCAGGCTTCATTTTCCTCCGAAAGACCCATTTGGAACCTAATGGCTTACACCCTGGAGGGAGATCAACCAGTTCCCACGTGTGATTCTGAAGGATAGAATCAACTTCACTCTTTATGGCCTCTTGCCACTGAGGTCCCTCAGTTGAGGTTACGGCCTCGTGATAGGTTCGTGGTTCTTTTTCTACCAAACAGGTTAGAATATCGGGTTCATTTTCCATTAGAAATGACAAAGTTCCTTTGTCAAATTCTATCAGATATGTTATGAAGTCAGAACCGAACGTCTTTTTAGTTCGTATTCTTTTACTTCGTCTCAATTCAGTCTCATGTTCGACTTCATCATCGTCACCGGAATTCGACTGATTTGGATCATCATTATCCATCATCTCAGTATGAGAACGTTTGGACGAGCTAGCTTCGTCACTTGACTTGCACGGAAAAATGTACTCGAAAAACGTTGCATTCCGTGACTCAATGATCGTGTTCTTGTGAATTTCAGGATTATCTGATTTGTACACCAAGAACCGGTATGACATACTATTGTACCCGATGAAGATTCCATCAACAGTTTTTGGACCGATCTTCATCTTCTTTGGTGGTGGTGCAAGTACTTTCGCGAGGCACCCCCACACTTTGAGATACTTATAGGAAGGTTTCCTATTATGCCAAAGTTCATACGGAGTTTTGTCAAGTTTCTTACGAGGTATTTTATTTAGTAAATAATTACTTGATAAAATAGCCTCCCCCCACATGTTCTGAGGTAATCCAGAACTAAGCAGCATCGCATTCATCATGTCTTTTAGAGTGTGATTCTTGCGCTCCGCTACTCCGTTAGACTGTGGTGTATACGGTGGGGTTACTTGATGCACAATTCCATGTTGTGCACAAAACTCATTAAGTGGAGCATCATACTCACCACCTCTATCGCTTCTCAATGCTTTTATTTTGCGATTGAGTTGATTTTCCACTTCATTCTTATATCGAACAAAAGTGTCTAACGCTTCATCTTTACTTTTTAGTAAATAGATATAGCAATATTTCGTGCTATCATCGACGAAGGTAATAAAGTACTTATTACCCCCTCTTGAAGGCGTTGTTCGAAAATCACACAAGTCGGTGTGAACCAACTCTAGAGGTTGAGTGTTCCGTTCGATCGTTTGAAACGAACTTCGAGTTGACTTAGCCTCAACACAAGTTTCGCACTTGTGGGTTAGGTCAATACTAAACTTAGGTATGTGTTCCATGTTAATTAATTTCCGGAGAGATGCATAATTAACATGTCCTAGTCTACCGTGCCATAAACTAGAAGACTCACACACATAAGCAACAGGATTTTTATTGATCTTTTCATGAACAGTCATTACATTGAGCTTTACTAGCCCATCAGAAATGTAACCCTTCCCAATAAAAATCCCTTTCTTGGATAAGATTAGCTTGTCTGATTCAAACACCAACCGAAACCCGTGTTTGATCAGCAGTGACCCCGACACTAAATTCTTGCGAATGTCTGGGACATAGAGCACGTCGTTGAGCGTGAGCTCCTTGCCGGAAGTCATTTTCAGCTTGATCTTTCCAATCCCTTGAACCTCTGATTGGGCCGAATTGCTCATCCACACCTTGTCACCGGAGCTCTCTTGAAAGTCGTGAAACATGCTCCGATTTGAACAAATATGGCGTGTGGCTCCTGTGTCCACAAACCATTCCTTCGGGTTTGACCCGACGAGATTCACCTCGGTGGCAACCGCGCAGAGGTCCAAGTTGTCAAGCTCCGCACACATGGCTTCAGTGGTTTTCTTCTTTCCCTTTTGTGGCTTCTTTTTCCTACAATCGGAGGAACGATGTCCAGTAATGCCACAATTGTAGCATTTTCCTGCAAATTTAGAAACACCACCCTTAGGACCCATTTTCTTCTTGTCCTTCCCGCCATGTGAAGAGCCCGACGGATGTTCTACAACATTCGCCTTAGCCCCTCCATTTCTTCTAGCAAGCCCTTCCTCTCGGATCCTCAACCGCGTGAGCAGTTGCTCCAGATTCAGCTCCGTTCTTTTGAGCTTGAGGTCGGCTTGGAAATCTTCCCACGACCGGGGAAGTTTGTGGATGATGGCCGCCACTTGAAAGGCCTCGCTGACGCCTACTTTTTCTTCATTGCACTTGTTGAAGATTACCGTAAGCTCCTCAGCCTGGGCGACAACAGATTTGCTGTCGACCATCTTGTAGTCCAGCATCTTCCCGACGATGAACTTTTTTGTGCCGGCATCTTCAGCTTGATACTTTTTGTTCAAGCTATTCCAAAGCTCCTTGGCGAGCGTTGCACCGGCGTAGACGGGGTACAGCGAATCTCCCAACCCCTCGAGGATAATGTTGATGGCGAGATAGTTGTTGTGGTACCATGCTTGGTTCACCATCGCCACGAGGGGGTCGTTGGCTTCATTGGGCTGGGGGGGATCTTGCTGCAGGTACTCAGCAAATCCCAAGACAGTCATAAAGAACATCATCTTTTGTTGCCACATTTTGAAGTTCGTCCCATTGAACTTCGGTGGCCTTTGAACCGAACTAGCGGGCACCGTAATCGGCCCAACTGCATTGGGCGTGTGGAGGAATGGCCCGTTAGTCGCCCAATGGGGTCCAACGAATGGATTGACCGGTGTGGGGAAACCCGGGCCTACGTTGACCGGGGTGGGAAAGCCCGCGTTCGGTCCAAAGTTGACCGTCGAGGCCGAAGCCGTAGTCGGTCCGAGAAACGGGTTCGAATTACCAATGGGGTGATCCCCCGTGGTTTCGAGCCCGGGAATGGGTCGAGGGGCCGACCCGAAGATCGAGCTCGGCATTGAAAACGACGTCATGGTCGCGGCGCCCACACTTGCCCCAAAGGGTAGTGGTGAGGACGGCACAACCATGGCGACCGAAGAGGTTTCCACCGGGATTTCAGAACTCATTCCGTTGCCGGAGGAACCCACGATGCCGAATCCGAACTCCATTAATACTACCTTAAGATTGTTGTATATTACAGCGGAAAAAAAAATAATCCGAACTTATAAAACGTTCGGATTTTACAACAAGAAATGAAAGAAAATAAAACTTGGAGTCTTCGGGAGCTCGAACGGACTTTTTCTTCGGACGGAGAACAAAGGGTCGCCGGAGATGTTTCTTGAACCGTAGGTAAGGAAAGCGGAGTCGCCTAAGCTTTCCTTAAGGTAGTATTGCCCGCCTCCCGCACTGGCTAACGTGGGCAATCTCCTCCCAGGAGAATAAAACTGCTACGTGCTAAGTCTAGAGCGGTAGAACAGAGCACCGGCGAAGAGAACGACGGGAAGTTATCGCCGGAGAAGGTGATCGGAGATTTGGAGATCGTCGGAAAGTTTGTATAACGCAGAGAGAGATTGCCGGAGAAGGTGATCGGAGATTTGGAGATCGCCGCGCCCCGCCGCGCGCGCGTCGTGCCGAGCCGGACGGACGGCGGCGGCGGCGCCGGGCGCGCGAGGAGTCCTCTTCTTGTTCCTTTCATAAGCTCAATTCAAAGCCTAAGCTTAAATATGAGAATACGAAAGGTTTAGAAACCGGTGTGGGACAAAGGCATTTACTCTACCTTAGCATTCAACTTTGAGAATTAATTTCTCATTCACTCGAGCACCGTTTATGACGTGTCATATGTCAAGACGTTCGTCTTACTTACGAGATTAATCGTCCATAATTATTTTGGAAAATAATTTTGTGGACCCAACCGAATTTATGTCCGAAAAAACGTCCAATTTACTTTAAAATTTCCAAGATAGTTAACTTGAATCCATGTCGAGGATTGAAATTTATCTATAATTGTATTCATTCCGAAGGAAAATGAGATACAATCTCAAAAAGAGGAGATTATGAAAAGGCTGAAGATGCAATCAACCAATTGAGGTGGCTTTCAGTTGTTAATATGGGAAATAAATCTTTATACCAAAATAATTAGAGCAACTTCATGCCAAAATCTTTAGATTTGAATATTCGAAATATATGTATAAATTCTATCGCGCCAGAGAGGGGAAAGACGAAGATGCAAATTGGAAGACGAAGAATTGAAGATATTAAACTACGCGATGATTTCAGGTTTTGTATTTCACATCATCTTATTCACCCTTCTTTTTTTCCATTAGAGATGCTCTAAGAAGACAAATGAAAACATATTCATATCATCTTATTCACCCTTCTTAGTCGGTAGAAAAACTGGACATCATCTTTGGAGACATGTTATTCACCCTTCTTAGTCGGTAGAAAAACCCGATGTCCAACATCTTATCCAACAGGTCACATCATCTTATTCACCCTTCTTAGTCGGTAGAAAAACCGGACTTAAATAATATTGTGAAATTTGCACTAAATAGTTTTAAAACATATGTTATTTCTCAATGTAATACTTAAATTTTTTTATTCTCTAAATAGTACTTGAATAATGTCTAGTGACGGGAACAATGTCCACTGATGATAGACATTCGTTTTGAACAATGTCCAGGCGATGAACATTTAGTTCAACAATGACTAGTGGACAATGATCAGTGACATTACATTGGGAAATAAAAACATATGAAACTACATTAGAAAAATCACTATGTTTTAGTATTATTTAGGTATATTTTAATATTCCGTATAAAGATATTTTAAAATCGTTATGTACCATTTCTCCGTCCTACAAAACCTTTCTACTTTCTTTTTTCAATTGTTTTAAAAAAATTTTCTCATTTATATTAAACAGTCACTTTTACCCTATTAATTCTTAACCTACCTATCACATTACATTTTTTACTACTAATCTACTTATCACATCTACTTTTGTCTATAACATCCAAAGATATTTTTGGAAATTTAACACAAAAATACACTTCTTTTAAATCTCTTAAAAATCAAAATAATAAATATTCTGCGCGACGGGGGGAGTATGTAAAATATTTTTAAATCCAGACCCCTAAGTGTGGGATTTTACAACATTTAACTAGTCGGTAAGCATTGCGCAGTTGGCAAGGCAATGAGTGTCTAGGAGGCAAGACCTGAGTTTGATTCCTAGCAATTGTATCGCACTGAGATGGCAAGACAATGAGTGTCAAGAGAGTAAGATTCGTGTTCAATTTCTAGCAAGTGAGATGTAACTATTTAACCCTAAAATCTTTGTATTTACCTCAGTGGCATCCATCGTCCTTTATTTACGACATCTAACGGAAACATGTGTAATCCTAAGTCCTAACCCCTGAAAAGATTCCTCCAATCCGCCTTATTTTTTTTTTTATTTATATAAATAGCAGCCTTGCAAACTCTAACCGCTTCATTCCTCGTTCGGTAGCCATAGCCAACCGATCAGATAGATGGCAAAGAAGAGACGGGAATCGGAGGTGTTATACGAGGGCCTGACCCGCGGCGACATCCGCCAAGATCTCCGCTGGCAAATTGAAGAGGTAGGCGTGATGTACCCTGAGTCTATCGCCTACTGGTCTGATGTTCCGCCTCTGGTCCAAAAAGAATTTTACCCTGACATCAAGGACTACTATGCCCTGAAAGAGTTGGTCATGGACGAATTGAATAATGAAGTGCCCAGATCCGACGACGAGGAGGAGGAAGAAGAAGGTTTCATGAGACCTGAGGTTTTTGGTCCTGTTGATCTCTCAGGTTGTTCTTCTGCTTCAATTCCTTTCTACGACAAATGGGTTCCCGTACAAGTCTCTGGGACTCGACCTGAACCACGGGCTTGGGTACTTAAAAATACATGTTGTTGGCTTTTTATTCAACCTTTATTCGGCTCCACCTGAATTGAATTGCATTCCATTCCATTGAATTGGTTTGTCCCTTCTTTGAACCGTTTGCTTGCAGCATGGAGCAGCAGTCATGGGAGATAAACTGTACATCTACGGGGGAAGAAGCCGGGATGGTTGTTTCCTTGGCGATCTTCATGTAAGCAGGTGGATTAGTTGGGTGATTTCCAACTAAGCCGTTGAGTCTCCATTCGATTTTCTCATTCTGTGCATTTATCTATCCATGCAGCATTCTAGCTATTTGTGGTTCACTCTAGACCTTGTCGCAATGTTGTCTCTAATATCCATCAGGACTATAACCAAACCATTGTAGGTACTTGATTTGAACTCTTGGACTTGGCATGAGCTCATTGGCACTGATCCGGGAGTGAATGGGGATGTGAAATCAAATATTTATGCTGCCCATTCATTGGTAAGTAAAATCCAACACCTTCAAGTTGGATCTATTTAATTACTTACGGAATTGAATGCATCCTGCTGCTTCTTGGTTGATATGATTATATCTTTGTGTGGTCTTCTAGATAGCTTGGAAGGAAAGGCTTCTTTTAATTGTTGGACATACAATGGACCCGTCACAGGAATGGTATATTCATCGCTTTTATATACATACACTAAAGAAAGTTTGATGAACATGAAGTATTTTCCATCATACCATAACCTGCATTAGGCCAACTCTTCTCAGTTTCCGTAAATGTACCGTTAGGATGAGAAGTGTTGTCATGTCTTTAGAAACTGTCATGAAGTATGTACTTTGACAGATATCTGGAAAGCCATGATTTGCAAGCCTTTTCCAACTTCAATTGGCCATTAAAAGTTTCTTGATTTTTGATTAATTAAACTGCTAATCTATCAGGAATATAAGCCCCTACTTGCAGCTGATCTTGCAACTAGCTGCTACTTATGCTTACTATTATGAAGTTAATATCCTACTTCCTGAGCATCCATAAAAAAATTGATCGCAGTGAAAGTGTTTGATCAGCAGAGTAATGCTTGTTTGGACTTCAAGACCTCGGGAGATGCACCGGTGTGTATCTTTTGCCCTTACTGAACGTTCTTGCTTCTAATCCTACCACAGCCCCTTGGTCATTATAATTGTTTCAACTGAAGGGGTTTGTGGTCAACATTGAGAAATTCTACATAATACTGAATATATGCCATCATCCAAATGGTTTGTAACAATCTGGTTCTTAAATTTAATTGTTGTATTTGGTTTGTTTTTGTAGATCGCGCGAGGAGGCCACTCTGTGAACCTTTTTGGAAATCGCTTAGTGATATTTGGTGGAGAAGATGCAAGGAAAGCATTCAAATTTAATGATGTGCATATCCTTGATCTCGTGAGCAGGATATGGAGAAAATTGGATGCTCGGTATGTGAACGTTCAGTCTCTGGGTTAATTAAAACAGTTGTTTAGTTGCTTCTCTAATATCAAGGGATGAGTTGTCAATTGCTAAAAGCTGACTGTATCTCTTTTAATATACTTTCTTCCTTTTATATTTCCTCATCTTTAGAGATTTGTAACATTTTCTTGTTTAGGGGGCAACCTCCATATCCCAGAGTCGATCATGTTGCTGCATTACATAAGGAGCGTTATCTTCTAATCTTTGGTGGTTCTCCACACTATATATGGTTTGATGACCTCCATGTTCTTGATCTTGAAAAAGTATGGGCACCTTTTAGCATCACAAAAAAACCTGCTAGTTGAAGTGTTCACAGTTTCCGTCTTGTAATTTTTCAGGAGGTATGGTCAGGACCTAAGGATACTACGGATTTTCCTACAGGACCGTATGGTCGTGCAGGTGCAACAATGGGGGATAGTTGGTTTATTGTTGGCGGTGGAACTCACAAGAAAGGTACAATGCGTTATCATTTCAACCTCACACCCTTTGATGATTGCTTTTTTTTCTTTAATTCCAAAATTACAGCTTGTGTAACACCCCAACTTGCGTAACCCAAATCAACGAGCTAGCGAACCAGTTTGCTATTAGATGAATCCACATGCACAACATTTTAAAACATTTAAAATAAAATATCCATTTATAACAATTTAATACAAATACTAGTTAATCCATAGACTAGCATGCATCAACATATGATCAAAATAAAACATTTTAAATTGAGCGAGAATATATATATCTAATACTAGAACTAACCCATAAACTAACATGCACCAACATATAATCACACAACATTTGAAAAATCAGTGAACATCATTAATCCAACATCATGAATATTCATTTGTTCACTTTAGATCTTAATCACACCACATTTAACTTGCTTGGATAAGGTTCACTCTCAACTGACTATTGCTCGGAGCCACCTATGAAAACTCAGAAAACATCTTTGAGGCAGGTTGGAGTTCCTTTCTTGCACTGTCGTACGTACGTTTTTAACCCAAAACCATTGGGTATGCGCTCATGCCCCTCAAAGCCTGTCTCGTATCTTAATCCTTTTGGATATCAAGTTTCTTTTGTATGGTATTACTAGGTGGCCTGTTTCAGAGTCTCAACACACAGCTATCACAACATCAAACATATTCAATACAAATAGCGGCCTATCGAGGAAACAAATTTCCCACGATTACCGTCATGCAATCAAAACTTCTTTACGTAACGGATTACATTACTACAATAAAGAACCATTATTCGAGTGTTATGCCATCTTCTTGCTCCTTCTTCATCAAGGCAACCCCTCCCGGCAACTGCAGCTTCTCCCTGTTGGTCAGCAACACAGAAAAAACCGACCGAACCGGACCGATAGGTCCAGACCAAACCCGGACCGAATTGATTTCGGGTCGGTCTTCGATCCTATAAATTTAACATTTCGGGTTTCGGTCCGGTCCGGTCTAGTCCCGATTCACAATCGGTCTGGACCAAATAGACTGGAATAGCCCATTTAATTTTCAATTGGTCCAAGAGTGAAGAAGTCCAATCCACTGTACAAATCCAATTTTTATAACCCAAATACCCCAAACACCCATCTCAATTCGGCAATTCCCAATCGTCACTGACCCGCCGTCCTTACACCATTGTTTCCAACCGCCGATGCTTCTCATTCCCAGTCGGCCGACGATTCTCAGGCAATTCTCAGACGGGCGATGGACGGGCGACGGATTGGCGACAGCCGACGGCCGACGATTCTCAAATTTCATATCTCCTTCTTGTTTGAGTTGTTTCGAAAGGCTTCAATCGAATCTACGAAGGTACAATTAATTCCTCAGTAGTCAGCCATCTCTAATCTTTTTCACCATCTTCTTCTCCAGATTTCCAGGTAATAAGCATGGATTCGGTCTTTTCGGTCTTCCCGGTTCGGTCCATGTGATTTTGGTCCGGTCCGGTCCAAAACCGAGATCATTTAGGTCCGGTCTTCGATCTAAGTTTTGGCATATTTCGGTCTTCGGTTCGGTCCGGTCCGGTTTTAGACCGATGAACACCCCTACAGCAGCAGCTCAGCCCTCTGGCAGCAGTACCCAAAGCTGCAACATCCACTGGCAGAAGCCCCATCCAGTAACCCAGCAGCGACTCAGTGTCTCCCTCGCCGGTAGGTCAGCAGCAGTGGAGACAGCAGCCAGCCGCAACTATCCTATTATCAAAGAAGGAGCAACAAAAGGAACAGGACAGGGGAGAGCAACGAGAAGAAAGGAACAGAATAAGCAGAAAGGAACAGCAACACACAGCGAGGAAGGTGTAGAACATGCAAAGCAAGAACTCAACTCAAAGTCCCAGCAAAACAACAATCAACAATATACCCGGATATACAAATTCCCAATTCAATTCATATTCTCAAACACAATCAATCACGACAACCTAAAGCATCAACATCCCGCCATCTCACATGACCAAACCACCTCAACCTAGCTTCTCGAAGCTTATCTCCCACAGCCTCGTCATGTTAGAAATAAATACACAAATAAGAAGTTATTCCAAATCCAAAACGATCCCAGGTGCTTGTATTAAAACAACTTAAGCAAACTTCAAAAGTTATTCAAACTTAAAATTTAGTGTCATAATTTAAGATATGAATATATAATGATAATATCTCATCTTCGTCAACTTCTTGAACCATTGGATTGCTAGAGGGACCAACACTCTCTCCCTCCACTCGTTCGTCATCCTAGCCGTCCGGAATATAACATTGAAGAGTTCGGTTTACCATAGCAACTCACCACGCCCTGCATGCTTCCTAAACTCTAGTGGGATCTCATCTGGCCCCAAAGCTCGCCAACTACGCATCCCTCAAACGCCCGGGCAACCTTTTCCAGACTTATGCGTTGGCAATACCCAAAGTCTTGAAGTGCCTCAGATTGCCCCAACTCACCTAGTTCGAGCATGTGGTTTCCTCCAGCATTTAGGAGGCCACAAAAGTAATCCACCTCCCCCACCCCCAGCGCTTTGCCACCACAGTAGTCTCAACCAACACTCTACCGTTGTTGCCCTTCAAGCATCTTGTGTGTGTGTGTGTGTATCTGTGTGTGTGTGTGTGTGTGTGTGGATATGAATATGAATATGAATGTGAGGGTTTGGGGGTTTAGGGTTTTACTTACACGTGTAGAAATAGGAATTTAGGATTATAAATTATTATTGTATTATTATATTATAAAATCAATTTATTTCTTTATCCTACTAAAACATGCATTTTTTTCATAACTTTTTATACATAATTCTAAACTTGACGAACAATATGTCAGTCATGTTTTCACGAGACCTACCATCTGGTGTGTGTGTGTGTGTTAATATATATACTGTTGGACTCGTCTCCTCCAGACCTACAATTGGAATATAAATTTGACCATAAAAAGATAGAGTTTGAAAACATCTTATTTTAGCTCTGTCATTTTAAATGCTTATTTAATTTAAGCATAAATCAGAATTACAATTTATTAGGAAGTCATTATTACATTCTAGGCTATTTTGGGGCATTATAGTCATATGTTTAATGACATAGCATATCTGTGCCTTTGTGTTCATTTCCTTGTGGTTTATTTTTGGTAGGAGCTGATACTTGCATCCTGAACATGCCGGATTATTCCTTGTCAGTGCTACCAAATACAGGGCAAAACATTTCTGCTGGCATTATGGTATGACTTCATTGAAAAGGATTGCGATTGCCATGTTTTTCGTTCATTACTTGGATCAGGACTTCAGGAGCAATGCATCACTGTAGGCTACTCTTTTTTGCAGGGGTTGAGTTTGGTTGTGAGCACTTATTGTGGTGAAATTGTGCTGCTATCATTTGGAGGAGCTGAGGAGTTCTGCTATAAGAATGATGTGTGATAATTTGCGTGTTTATTATGATGATGCTTTTGCTATATATACACACCCCTTTGGAAGGTAGATGGTAATATAGTGTGTGTGGATGTTGGCAGGTGCATGTCCTTAAACTTAGCCGTTACCTTGTCTCTAATGTGGATTTTGATACCAATGCAAACTTTGATCCCAGGGTAACAACTTTTAAAAATATTCACCTGGTAAAGCGAAACGTTCTCTCTCTTGCTGCTGTTGATCACCTGTTGCCATTTTCTTGAACAGAAAACTCAGAAAGCTGAATGGTCAGATAAAGCGGAGTCATCGAATGCTGCGTCTGATAATCACCATGCCAATGTATTTTCTGTCATGGAGGTTAGAGATGGCTACTTGTTACCACATACATTCTATTGGTCAAGCAAGGGGAGATGATTTTAGTCAGTGCTTTCTCACGTATGGATTTCCTTTGTTGCAGGATATTGAGCATTTACGTGACCAGCTGGCAGTCAAGCAGTCAAGAAATGCCAAACTTGAGGTGCTTGGACATTTTGTAGTTCTTGCGGCAAGTTGTGTCATGAAATTGTCTTTCTTTTACTGCAAGTTGGTTGCTTCATGGCATTGTCTTTTAGTTGGAATCCAATCGTCGTCCACATTCTCTAGTCTAGATTTTTATCTTCTAACAATCAATACCTGTGAGAGAGTTAAGGCTGGATTCATGTCTGATAAAATGAACTCTAATTTTGTGTTTTCACTCCTAATTTTCTTCTTGCACAGTGAAATCAATTTGAAGCAGAAGGTATTGGGCGGAGTTGAAGCTGCAAGACCGAAAAAGGGCTCGAGCCACAGCAGGGGGTTGGAGAAGAGCGTTATTCTCAGGTAGGCGTGGGTTCCGTGTGGAACTTAGAAGGATGACGCAATGTCTATATTTTGAAATTAAAACACTAACCAGTGCGGCTTTGATCGGCGGGTGGTTTACCCATTTTCCCTTCCCAGCTTGTAAGATATGAAGTTTACTTTGGTGGGTGCATCCCGCATTTTACCTTCAGTCGAACCCCAGGGTAGGGGCCCTTGTGTTTGGGTGCATTCCTTTCTTTTTTTAAAAAAAAAATTATTATTTATTAATCTGACCCTGTTGTAGCTCTTATAGGCTGTCTTGAAAAATCAGAGCCTGAACTACATAACTTATGGTATGGTCTTGATGTATTGTAATCATAATAAAGTCAGAGCCTGGACTACATAACTTGTGGTATGGTCTTGATGTATTGTAATCTGTTTGGATTGATTTGTGGGTACCGTCTTAATAAAATAAAAAGACTGCATTCTCTTTTTTTAAATTTACTCAATGTTTTCTCTTTGGAAAATTTCTAATTTCGATTGTTCTCTATCCGACATATGGCATACTATGTTCGTTGTAGACATTTTGACTAGTTTTGACTTTTATTGTAGTAGTTAAAAATGATAACTTTTGAGCATTATTTATATGTATTAGCTATTCATATAAAAAAAACTCTTATTATACTTATCTTTTAATTTATAAGTTGTTTCAAAATATTGTTATAGCCAATTCATATATCATTCTTACGAAAGGCTAGTCTCTTTCTTTGGAGACCCTATCATGGTGCCGTCTCATTGCCTCTTACTACAACCATATTCGTATTTTAGCTTGCCTTCTACTCCCTCCGTTCCTGAAAGCACTTCCCATTTTAGCTTGTTTTCCCAAACGGAGCGAGTAAATGTTGTGTTATGGGTAATGAATCAATAATGGATCACTTTTTCATTTACTAATTGCCCTTATTGGAGCTAATTTGCTGCAATCATGGATGGTCTTACATGCTGGTTCTACTCTACCCTTATTAGATCTCCATCACATCGTATGCAATGGTGGTTCAAGGCTAACAAACACACAACCTCCAAAGAAAACCAAGAGTGTTGCTGCCCTCCAGATTGCTCAGTTTAGAATGCATACCTCTTCACATTCACGTTTTTAATAAGAGAAATGTTAACTTTAGATAGAGAAATTATATGTTATTTTTTATTTAGTTTTTTCATTTAAAATACAAACTAATTTGAATTTTAAAATATTATAAAAAAATAATAATTTTCAAAAGTAGTTTAAGAATGATAATAGGCACTGACGCCCATGTGGATTAAAAAATAGGCATCAATACTTCCCTTTTCAACGCAAAAATGAATGAAAAATAGTACGAATTGAGGTGGTGCATGTGTGCAAGCTTTTGAAATGACAGACATTTTTTAGATAAATTTTGAAAATAAAAGATACATTCATACCTATTTTTCAAACCATATGGAGCACTAAAAGTATTTTAATATATTATATTTGAAGATATATGTGTCATTCCGTACTTTAAACTATAAATATATTATTATCAAGATTATATTTTTTTCAATTCTCAATATATATTTTACTATAATATTTTTTCTCTATGAAAAATTATACTAATAAATATTTTTCTTTTTAAAAAGAGTTTTATCCTTCATAAATATTTTTCTTTTTAAAAAGAGTTTTATCCTTCATAAACACTCCTTATTTCATTAGAATAAAGTATTAAAGACTATGGGTGCCGTGAGGTGAATATATATAATATCTCATAACACAATTTAACTTTTCATAGATTTCTTTAATACTCCTTGTAATATTTTAATTTTAAGGAAATTATAATTATTAAAAATTTATGGAATACATTAAAGCATAAATTTTTTCATATTAGAAATTATCAAATACATGTTTAAGACCTATAAAGAATTCATTCTTTAAAATATATTTTTCATCATTAATTAGGTGATCTAAGATGAGCTATATTATAGCTAAATAAATTTCCATACAAAAGAATAGATTAATAATTTTTAAAAATTTATATTTTACTCAAAATACTTTTAATAACATTTCCGTTTTTATAAAAATAAAGACGGAGTCAATCGTGAATATGTTCTTTTTTTATTAATAATTAATTTAAGTTTTGTTGAAATTTTTTAATTTTAATTTCATTTACATAAATTTCAATAAGTTCAAAAGCCAACAATTTTTCAATATAAAATACATGGTTTTTAATTCATCAAATTTTAAAGATTGACATAAATAATTTCTCATAAATGATAAACGAGAATGTAAAGCATAACATGTAATTTATTAATGTGTCATGTTATATAAAATTTGTAAAGTAAGATGACACATGTCAAAGTAGGGTGAGCATGGTACGGTATTTAGCTCGTACCGATACCGTACCAAATATTTCAGTTCGGTATAAGATTTTACTTCGTACCGATCCCGACCCGAAATATCGATTCGGTATGGTTCGGGATAATTCGGTATTAGTTTCGGTACAAATGATGATGAATATACATAACTACTTTACACGTTAAAATTTAACAATGTCCCTTTATTTTTGAAAATTAAAAAGTGAATTTAAATAAAAAACATGAAAAATTTAAAAAAAAATGAATATTTGAATGCAAGAGATGCGTATCAAAACTTAGTTTATATTTCACACGCTAAAAAAATGAACGACAACAAAGGAGTATTTCAAATCTCTGTGAATACTTTTATGTTCATACACAAAAACTAATACACGAATAAAAGTAGAATTTACACATAATAGAACTTGAACCAAATATTTTTTTATAAAAATTATTATTTGGTGAAGGAATATAAAATTATTACTCAGGGGTATTATTTTTTATAATATTTTAGTATATATGTTCGGTTCGGGATTTTCGGTATGGGACGTCACCTCGTACCGACCATTTGGTTTGGTACATTTCGGTTCCTTCTCGGTACTTTACTTTTAAGTTCGGTATTCTCGGTTTTTTCAAGAAATTTTGGTATTGGTTAAGTACTTGGGCCAAATAGCTCCGATGCCCCATGTTGTTTGGAAAATTGGCACCAATACCTTCTTTATTTTCAAAACTTACTTTTAAATTCCCCGTGGTTTTAAAATGCTGCATCCGTGTCCCCTCTGATAATTTTCCGGCGAAGAGGGGCATTTGCGCATAAATTTTAAACCATAGGGGCATTCGTGCTCATTTTTTATTTTTTCTTTATTATTTGTGTATTTCTTTTTTTAAATATTTTCTATCTCTTTTTTCTTTTCCTAGATTTTTTCTAATTTATTTTCGATTTTTTATAAAGTTTTAAAATTTTAAAATTTTTTATGTTTGAAATAAAAATAAAAATAAACATATTAACATACATTTCATCTATTTAAAATTAAACATTTTAACTTTTTGTTACGTACTTATTTGGAAAGTTCAAAAAGAAAAACCTAGAATAAAAAAATAAAAAAATAGAAAAATAAAATGAAAAATAAAAATACACAAAAAAAGTCTGATACAAAAAATGGGCAAGCATCAAAAAGTCATGGCTCGATATTACGCCGCAGCATAAAGGGACTTGTATAGCAGCTAGAACACCTCGAATCTATAGATCTCATTACACGCACTAGCCATGGCTCGATATTACGCCGCAGCAGACCAACGAGAAACATTACTTTTTGGATTGCCAAGAGACTAGCGACCCTCCCAAGAGTATAAAATATTCTGTGACGGACCAACGAGTAAGGGGAAACCTATCCCAATCTAAATTAGGGGGTTAGGGGAGTGTTAGGGGTAGGAACCGTCAATTTTACAAACAAGACACTGTAGGTACCCAAACGAACTGGTGTCATTTTAAACTTACTCATATATATATATATATATATATATATATATATATATATATATATATATATATATATATATATATATATATATATATATATATATAATGAGATTTAACCATCTTCACCATCATCTTCACCTTCCTCTTGACATTGGTCGATCTCTTCTCCTCGCCATCTGCGCCTTTTTCAGGCTGTACCCAAAGATAGGTACTGTACTATAAAATTTGCTGCCTTTGCGGCCTAGGTGCTTCCTCTTTAAAGCCAGAGCTTTATATTTCCCAATCTTAAACCCTAACCCTGCCCACGCTCGGGGAAATGCAGCGGCGGCACACGAAGAGGAAGCACCAATGCAGACTAAGGCTCGCGGAGATGCTTCTGCACGCGAAGAGGAAGCACCGAGGCACACTAAGCGGTGGCAAGAAGAAGAAGAAGAAGGCCTGTAGACGAGAAGATACTTCTGGCTCAATTGCTGGTTACGATCAATGGATTGCACCGCCGGTTTCCGGGACCCCACCTCCCCCACGCTTTCGAGTACATACATTCCACGTTTCATTTTCTTCTCTCGGCACGTCTTCTATTTATTCTCATCTCTCTGTTATGCATCTGGTTTTCCTTATTTGCGCATGCCGCTGCAGTTATCCAAGATAAAATGTACGTCTACGGGGGGAAAAGTTACATGACTGAAGGAATCTATGCGGGTGAGGGGTGTTTTCTGGGCAATCTTCACGTAAGGGTTTTCTACCTATTTCTATGGCTGTGGCTTTGTCTGTGTCCGATTGCCTATGTTAACAATGGTACTGTCTTGCTCTAAATTTCGTTGCTTAGCTTCATGAAACTGACCCATTTTGTTGTAGGTTCTAGACTTGAAAAATTGGTCTTGGTCAAAGCTTGTTGATGAGGATCACAAGTGGATTCTTATTGAACGGTTCTCTTATCCTGGCCAGTCATTGGTTAGTACTCTACACCATCTTCTTTTAACAACTCTTGTAACAGATGTATTTAATGCATGACCAAATTTAATGTCTCTTCTTCTGTATTGACGTGACGTGATTATATCTTTGCATTCTTTTAGATAGCTTGGAACGGCAGGCTTCTTTTAATTATTGGACGAATGGAGGGTGTGTCAGAGGAAACCATGCTGGGTACATCCATTATATCGTACCGTGTCCGTGTGTGTGTGTCAGTGTGTTTGTGTGTGTGTGTGTGTGTGTGTCTCACACACAAACTATTGCAAGATTGCTGATTATAAAAAAAATTGTTCAAAAATAAAATGCAGCAATAACAACATAATGAGAGGTTTTTTCCATTAAGCCCTAAATGCATTGTTGCATTTACTACCCATGACTTCATCGAAAAGGCATGCTTTTAAAGACTCTTGAAGACTGTTTTGTTACGTATATCTGCGTTTTATCATTTTCAAACCCTTTTCCAACTATATTTGGCCGTTGATGGAACCTTGGTTTTAGATTAATCAAACTACTCCTCTCCGATGCCTACCATGATCAAGTTTCTATCTTGCTTTTCAACATTGTTTATGCATTCTTCTTTCTCAGTATCTGGTTAATTTGTGATGCCAGTGAAAGAATTTGATCTGCGAAGCAATTGTTGGTTAGATTTCAAGACTTCAGGAGATGCACCGGTATGTGCCTTCCACCCTTTGTACTTAGATTTGCACACTTACTAGGGCAGTGAATACATGAATGTGTTGTTACCTGATAGTGTAATTATATGAATCATACTTTCTATCACTTGGGCAAACAAAGTTTAATTGCAGTCCATAACATAAAACCAAACATTTACCTCTTCCCAACAAGGTAGAGGGGTTGTTTTCCACAAGACCATTGGTTTTATGTTTTCAGTTTTTGGTTTTATTTTGCAATTTCCAAAAATGGTTTTCACGTGTTTGGTTTTATTTTGGCAATTACAATTATTTGGCATAAAATTAATTACAAGAAAATGGTTTTTTTTTTTTTTATGATTTTGGTATTTTTACAAAAATAATTGTTACTAATTTTTATTTTTAGAGATAATTGCTATTGACTACATATGTCTAATTTTCATTGCCCCAAACCTTTTTTGGTCAACGTGGTGGTCACACGCTCATCCAATACTAACTCAAATCCAGAAGATAATGAGGAAAATCCCTTTGGTAATCATCCTTTGGCAACCATTGCCTTTCGCTTGGCGGCTTTAGATGTTTTGTAAGAAAGGGTGATTGTTGTGGAAGCGAATTCATCTCGTCGTAAATCGTAATAGTGGAAATGGGAAACAACACAATAGGGCAGATAATATCAATGAGGAATATAAATGATCTCGACGTGCTTCAAGTCTATCACATGCCAAAACTGAGTTCCCAATTTCTGCAGGCGGTGACTCGAGAGGATGGGACCTCAAAGTAGAGAAGTATTTCCGTTACTATGATTCCACAGGATGATAAGGTGGATGTGGCTTCCATGTACCTTGAAGGGGATGCTTTGGACCTTTTTTCATGGATAAGCACTAAGAGAAGTTGTTCTATTTCATGAAAATACCCACTGTTTCTGTTATCACCTCTTCCCCTGCTAACACTGAGTAACCCAGAAGTAGATCCTCCACTAGCGTTCCTCCGGCGAATGTCTTCACCCAAAACACTATCAAACTTCAAGTTTCCTGTTCCAACAGTTTCAGTAACCGTTGTCACAAATCCCGACCAACTATCAGACAAGGAAGATAAAGAATCACAGCCTGAGTGTCATCATCGAACAACCTCATTAATGTGATCAGTAACTGGTCTGCCCTCGTTCATTCTCATCATGAACAATCCCCTCATCAAGAACACTCTATTACCGGCCGACGGTTTCTCATACATATTTGACAGATCTGTTAACATACCACGAGCAGTTGTTTCCTTCATGATATTAAACGCCACACTCCTCGTCAAAGCTAGTGTAATTTTACCTCTTGCCTTTTTGTCCTTTGAGTCCCAAATTGCTTCAGCAGCCTTATCCNGAGTGTCATCATCGAACAACCTCATTAATGTGATCAGTAACTGGTCTGCCCTCGTTCATTCTCATCATGAACAATCCCCTCATCAAGAACACTCTATTACCGGCCGACGGTTTCTCATACATATTTGACAGATCTGTTAACATACCACGAGCAGTTGTTTCCTTCATGATATTAAACGCCACACTCCTCGTCAAAGCTAGTGTAATTTTATCTCTTGCCTTTTTGTCCTTTGAGTCCCAAATTGCTTCAGCAGCCTTATCCATTCCATCCGGTTTCTCTTCCAGTACCATGTCCAAATCGCACTCATCAAGCAACGCCTCTATTTGCATTTTCCACCATGCAAAATCAGTACCGTTGAACTTCTCGATTCGAACCCTCCCGTCCTCGGCCATTGCAAAACGAGAGAAAAAAAACCAGAGAAAAAAATCAAGGAATAACGGCCTGAAACCAAGCAACCTTCAAAAGAAAACAAACCCTAAAACAAAGAACCCGAACCAACGAGTACTAGGTCCAAGACCAGAAACCCTAATCGCCAAGTTCACCTAAAACCGACCGAACACCCCCTGACCAGATCCGAACCAGTCTCTGATCAGATCCGAACCAGCCCCTTGACCGCGGCAACAAAACAGCAGCAAAAACAATCATGAACAGCCTTCTTCCTGCGATTGATCCTGTGTAACCGTGTGTTTAACCCAATCAAGGCTCCGATACCACTTGTTAGGAATCAGAGATCAGAGGCGGTCAAGCGGAAGCAAACAAACACACACACACAAATAGCAGAAAATAAGAACACTTTAGAGAAATGACTTAAGTTTTAGTGCTATTTAGTGCAAATATTTCTATTATTATTACTATCATCATCATCATCATTTCATTTCTTGAAATATTCAGCATTCCTAGGTTACTATTATGATTATTATTATTATTAATCATCATCATCATTATTTCATTTCCTGAAATATTCATTGGCCGATTTAATTGTTTCTTGTAGTTGACTCATACTTGTACATGTGATTGATCCAATAGGGTGGTGACTCATAGTCATAGCTGTGGGGAAGTCCTGGGTTATTATTATTATTACTATCATCATCATCATCCTTATTTCATTTCTTGAAATATTTAGAATTCTTGGGTTATTATTATTAATCATCATCATCATCATCATCATCATTATTTCATTTCTTGAAATATTCATTGTCTGATTAATTTGTTTCTTGTAGTTGACTCATACTTGTACATGTGATTGATCCAACAGGGTGGTGTCTCATAAGAATAGCTGGGGGAAGTCCACGTGACGTTTGTGGATGATAACCGCTCTCAATTCCAACAACTTGTCTTTTCCAATAATCGCCCATACTTTGTTCCCGGTGATGCCATGGCCCAAATCATCATCGAACAACTGTTGGCCCGTCTTCTCACTTTGGTCCGGTCCAAACGGGCCAAGACGGCACCAGGCCCCATGATTGATCCTCAACTTATCTTGAATCGGTTGTGGATTTTTGTGAATTTTCAAGACCATGCCTCTGCCCAAGACTTGAATCTTTCACCACAATTTCTCATAGAAGGTAAGTTTCCAATTAGAACACACCACACACACAAAGTACTAACACCACATTAACTTGGAGATGACCATCTATGATGACTACTTGTGTTCAAGTAATATCAACAAACAAAACATACACACTGAGTAGTAACTAACTTACGAACTACCTACTCTTTCAATTTCATTCTCTACTCCAGTTTCCAAATTTCAAATAGGTAAAAAAAACTCTATTGCTCCACTTAAATGTGGATTTCATTCTCTACTCCAGTTTCCAAATCTCAAATAGGTAAAAAAATTCTGTTGCTCCAGCTAAATGCTGACATGCGTGCAAGCGACGGCTCCAAGGTCAAGTGTCTCAACAATCCACCGAGAGGACTACTGGACGCCAAACATGCCGGTTCGTCTTCAAGATCCAAAGAATGCACTTTGGTCCTTACCGAAGGCGAAACTGGCAAATCCCTCGTGGTAATATATTACTACCTTTCTTAAAATCCTTTATCTTCTTCTTTTTCTTCAAACTTTATCTTTCTTACATCATGTTAGTTCTCTATATATGTCACCCGGTTGTTGCGTTATTTAGGAGAACAGCCTCTCTAGTCTACCCATTAGAGACCAACACCGGTTTGGGATCTTTGCTCTAAACGGTTAAGCTTATAAATGTCAAGGCTTCGACCCATGAAAAGATTATTCAAAATGAAAAAATCAAAAATATCAAACAAATCCTTGGGTTGAAACAAGGTGATCGTAATATTCCTTCGTTGAGATATGGCTCTATCATCATCATGACCGATCANCATCATGTTAGTTCTCTATATATGTCACCCGGTTGTTGCGTTATTTAGGAGAACAGCCTCTCTAGTCTACCCATTAGAGACCAACACCGGTTTGGGATCTTTGCTCTAAACGGTTAAGCTTATAAATGTCAAGGCTTCGACCCATGAAAAGATTATTCAAAATGAAAAAATCAAAAATATCAAACAAATCCTTGGGTTGAAACAAGGTGATCGTAATATTCCTTCGTTGAGATATGGCTCTATCATCATCATGACCGATCAAGTATGTTCTTTCTTTAATTCTCTTTTTAATTCCTCCGCTTCTTACTTTTAATTTAGAGACAATTTAAGTATCTCATCTTTTTGGTTTGGTGTATCTATAGGATCACGATGGGTCACATATAAGAGGCTTGCTCCTTAATATGTTTCATACTTTTTGGCCGCGTTTATTGCTTCTGAAGCCTCCTTTCTTTTCAATGCTTATCACACCTCTCATCAAGGTAAATACATATAACCTACTTTGTATTCTTATGTAACAATGATACCATAGCCTTTAATTTCTTACTTTAATAGGCTGTTGATATGTCCAAAATACGAAAGCCTTTGAAGTTTTTCACTATTCAAGATTATGAAAAGTGGATTATCACTAATCCAGAGGGTCAATGGAACACCATTTTTTATAAGGTACAATTGTATATATGTATTTATGTGTGTGTGTGTGTACACACACACTCAAAACTCATATTATTCACCATTAGTTGATTAATCACACTTTCAAAGCTAATAAAACTCGCATTTTTCTTTTGTTTACTTCTTTTTCTCGGGGCTTAGGTGACAATGACTCCAACGAAGGTCAAGAGTATTTTAGAAATAAAAAAAGAATTGCGAAAAATGTTCGTCCCTAGTTCAGTTAAGAAAGATGATGATGCTGCATTTAATATTTTCTTTGCAGAAGATATGAGTGGCGAGAGAAAAAAAGCTTCGAGATCCTCATAAAGTAGATGAAGAATATCTCCAACTAGGCGATCCAAGAATGGTGATATATCACATATTCGGATTTCTTATACAAAGAGTTCATACATTATTCAATTGCACAAAACCGGCGAACAATCCCGTCGATGGTTGATGGATTTAAGCGCACACAGCGAAAAGTGGTATTTACAGCTTTGTTGATAAATTTGGATACATTTATGAAAGTGCCGGATTTTGCGGGTGAGGTATCATCCATGACATCATATCATCACAGCGATGAAGTTCTTACAGATTGCATCTTTCTCATGGCTCAAGAGTTTGTAGGTAGAAAAAACTTAAACATCATGCAATCAAAGGGTCAATTTGGAACACGATCTCGGGTCCGTTTTTTGTTCTTATCTTATTTTTATTATTTACTATTTCGCATATCCTTAGATATTATGGTCTTTAGAGGAGAAAAAAAAATTTAAAAAAAAATGAGATAACAAGGTAGTAGAAGCAAAAAAAACCAAAGAGAAGAGAATAGATTATACTATATTCCAATTCATATATATATGTACTATTAAATTTTATATTTTTATAGGGGCCCCAACATCATGGCATGGCTAGGTATGACCATACCAAACTTTCACCCATAGCTAAACTGGTCTTCCCCGAGATTGACAATTGTCTCCTCGAGCATTTGAAAGAAGGTGTTCAGATTCTTGAGCCTAAGTGGTATGATCATTGTTTTATAACATTGGTTTATGTTTGCAAGTGTATTGTTATAAATCATCCTTTCTTGTGCTCCTTCTAGGAGAAATATGCCATTTATTGTCTCTAATAATACTCTCTTCGATGTTATGTTTTTATCCTACAAGTATCTTCCGGTTATCCCCTTAGTTCTCATAAATGGGTGTATCGGACTCGGAACCGGTTGGCGATAAAACATTCCGTGCTTTAATCCTCGAGACATAATTGACCGCCTCCGGTGTCTCCTCACTTTTGAAAAGGAGAAAAAGGCCAAAGGAGTAAAGAAAGAAATAATGGAAGTAGAACTTTTATGTCCATGGTACAGAGGTTTCAAGGGAAGCATATTGCATTCTGGCAATGATGTAAGGGGTCATAGAATTTATTCAAGCTCAGGCGTGGTGAAGGTAGTTAAGCCAACTACTTTGGTGATAACAGAGCTCCCAATTGGGTTATGGACTTTGGTTTACAAAGAAGATACTGTGGAGCAGATCTTGGCCAAAGGTCTCATCAAGGTGGGATTTTTGTTTGTTTGCTTTTATGTGTTCAATTGTTGTGTTGTATAAAAACTATGTTTGTCTCAGATGAATTATGTATGGTATGTTGCAGGGCTATTCAGACCGGAGTTGCCTTGACAATGTGAAGTTGAGAATTACTTGAACGAAGAAAACAGAAAGTCGGATGATCAACTCATTAAGGACTTCAAGCTCACTTCAAAACTTTATACTGACGAAATGATCTTGTTTGATGAGAAAGGCATTATCATTGAATTTCACACTCCCGAAGAAAGTAAGATTCATTCCACATTTCTATTTGACAAACATGGATGGAACAAGACTCTAGGATGTGTGTGTGTGAGTGTGTGTGTGGTGCTGACGTGTGAGAATGAGAATGATAATACGGTTGGAAGAGAAAAAAAAGGCCAAAAACTAGGAAAAGGAAAACATAAAATGCATTGAATTGCCCCTCGTGTGAAAGACTTCTTTGCTTTTTCTCTCGATCATCCTCTACTCCTCATTTTAGGGATTGGCACTTAACTGGTTCAAGTGAATTGATCGGTTTGTTTGTTTGTTTTTCTCAGTTCTAGTGCGATTCTTTAAAGTATGCCTCGATTACTATGGGAGGCGATATGAAAAGTTGTTGAATGATTATCAAAGAGAATTGACATTTCTAGCTGCCAAGATTAGATTTGTCAAAGCTGAATCAGAGGGGAAAATCCATGTAAAAAACGTAGAGAAGGGACGCAATGCGTTGCACGAGGAGTTGAGACAGGAGGGTTACCCTTGCGATGAATCAACGACAGGATTCGATTACTTACTCAGGGTTAGTGATCATCTAAGTCCGTCCCTCACTGGCAAGAGAATCCAAGATTTGAGGAACAAGAGGGAACAGATTCGACAACACTTGATGGACTTACGAAACACAATACCGGAAGACTTGTGGCTATGTGACCTGGAGGCTTTGGAGAAGGCACTGCCTCCGGGTG